ATGGTGCTACTGTTGCAGCTGCTACTTATTATTTGTTTCTAATTTCTGTTTCTGTGTGATGCACTCTACTTAATTATCGCGGTAATTTAACTTTTGATTTTAAGGTTAAATAGCTTTTTTCTGATTATTGATTACGAAAAAAAAAGGAATACAATGCATGATGAAAACATTATCACTTCTATCATTGCCTATCTAATTATTATCGTTATCATTAGAAGAAATGATCAATGCTAAAATGATTAGTAGTGATATGATGATAGTGTTGATAGTTGTATGGTGTAACAGTTAATTAACAAATTCCATTTCAAATTTAGTTTAATTCAAAAAGAAAAAGGAATCATAAAAAAGAGAAAGAAGGAAGATTTAGAGGTTTCTTTTTACTTTCGGAAATATTAAAAGCATTTTGGGAGAGAAGTAAATAATTATTCCTGAATTGACGCAACACCGGACGAGAATCATCATCGTCATCATCAGTTTTCATCCTGATTATTGTTATCGTTACCACCGTCCACATCATTATCATTGATTTCGTTGATGAGATGGCATCGAAAGCCCTAAATGAACCCAACAAAATAGCACCACGGACAAATCGACAACATACCTCTCTCATCTTTCCTTTCCCTTATATCTTCTCATTCCTCCTTCATCCTCTCTTTATTCATCAAATTTTCAGTTGACATTGATTTCTTTCCTCCTTTACATGTATACTCTCATAACTGAAGTCATGAAGGCATTTGGGCTGATATAATAATATTCATTCCGCAATTGTCATATATAAAGCAGTAGCTAGTAATAATTGTTATTTATAATAGTCTCTATCAGTTCAAATAGTTTGTTTCCTCAATGATAATAGAGCAGCTAGTGATAAATGCTTATTAAATTTTGCAGAATCGGATTCTTCTGTTACAGTTACTTACTTCCGGGTGTTATTCTGTTTATTTCTTCCTGTTAACATCTGGAACTTTCCGGTAAATTTTCTTCAACTTCTTTCTGAAATCTAGTAAATTTCACGACAAAATCAACATTTATATACCTAACTCTTTGAGTAATCATAATGGAATATATAAAGAAAAAAAACTAAAATTAGGTATGTAGAAATTACTGAATAATTTACTAATTGAAAAATGAAATATTATTTGAAATTTATTAGCATTATCTCTCGTTCACTTAATATTGATTATGATGTTTTAACGAAAGAATAAATGCAAATTTCTGCACATTCACAGTTAAATATTGTCGCACTTCAATTTCAGAGTTAAATTCTGCATGATGAAAAAGAATTTTGAAAATGGGAAACAAAAGGCCGGAAGGAGGGATTGATTTCTTACTCAATCCTCTTTTCACATTGTTGATGAAGTGTGTCTCTGTCGTATTATTGCACATTTTCTCGTTTTACTGCTGTTTTTCATCCCTTTGTCATTAAGAAAGAGAGAGACGGTGGGGAGTTTTCCTTTTGTAACTGGTAGTGGCAGTTAAATTTTTCGAAACTGATTCGAAATATCTTTTTCATCTTTCCGTTTTCTTTGCTCGAAAAGATGAGATTTATTGCATAAATGAATCGAAGTTTAAAAATGTTTCCGGCGTTGCTTTTGAAAGTTATATATTGGCACATAGACAGATCAGGTTTTTCAGATTCTTTTTTTTAGCGATATAGGATGCTACTGTTACAGTTATTATAATTCTTGTTGTTAGGATTGATGACAATTATGATTATTATTAGCAGCCGAGATTTTTATTACATTATATATTCCAAAAAATTGGGAGAAAGTATTGTCTTCATGTCTTTTTGAGCATCATTCATAAATTACTTTCAAAATATTGTTTAATTAAAATTATAGGTTTTCATATAAACTTTCATATCTTCGTTGCTCATTAGAATGTGAAGGAAGATAGCATTATTATTGGTAATATGCACACTCCTATATTTTACATTATTTTGACTGTTTTTGAATGAATTAAGGAGAGATTTTTTTGTCCCTAAAAATGTAGACAATTTTTATCGAGCACTGTATTAATTTTAAAAATGCCGGATTAATGCTTCTATAAGGCATTCCGTAGTAATGAATGATTGTGATGCCAAAAGTTTTTTTAATAAATATGTCCAAAAAATTAATAATTTGGTTATTGTTTTAGATTTGTTAAAAACAAATAACGCATTTTCAAAATGGTTTGGAAAGCGAAAACGAAGGCACTGAACGGCTTTGTCGGGCATTGCTTTTGGCTTGTGAATCACTGAGAAAGATTCTTCTCTTTACGCGTGAAAAATTTTCCTGTTTTTTTTTTAAAAGTGCAATTTTTTTTTTCAAATTTCAAACCAGTCATTGACTAGCAATTAGTTACTTTATTTTTGCGTTTCACTCTGTCCTGAAAACACGCTTTATTTTTTTCATTTTTCAATTATACGGAATGGAAGTAGATTTACTACTTGAGGATAACTTCAAATGTAATAAAAATTAATTCATGATTCACGTATTGATTAGCAGTTGCTAAAAATTTGATTTTAGTTAATTTTTTTAAATGATTCGTACAAATAGAGTGGTTTGTTTTTTTCAAAAGTCTATATAAATGAGGCAATCAATAAATGAGTTAAAACATATTTTTGTAACTTATCTCGTTTCAGCTTTTTTTTGAAAAATGTTTGTATTTAAATTGATATCGTTTTCTTTCATTTTGAAATGCTTATTCAGCTGCTTTCGAAAAATACCAGTGAAGCCAAAGCGTTTGATGGAAGTTACAGCACAGAGCGCTTTCTTTCGTTTTCATAAAAAACTAAGCAGGAGTATTTGTTCGTAATTTTCATTCATTCAATAATAAGCTTGAATTAATTCAATCGGTATCAAAATTAGATCTTTAGTAAGGAAAAGTTTGAAAGCTTGAATTCGAAATGAGAACGTGACTGGGCAGAGGTCAGGATCTCGTTGATATCGGACAATGTAACTTATAGAGATGTCTTGAAAATGCGATGTTTTGATTGGTGGAAGGAAGAGGGAAATGATGATTGTATGTTTTATGTATTGAATTTATAATTTTATCCATTGATTATGCATATAGTTTTAATTACCAATGAAATAATGTATGGTTTATATAATGAAGTTTTAACATTAATGATTTAGAATAATGTTACTTTCTGACGTATTCGATAGAAATTCGATGGTAATCGATAAAGCATACTGATTTTTTTTCTTGACCAGATGTGGAACATTATTCATTTGTAGCTAATTAAATAAGCTTTGCTTCAGTTAAATTCGATTCAAGATTGATGCATTCAGGAAGGGTTTTGTTACTGGATTGGTTAGAGGATAGTAGTTAATAAAAGTGGGAAGTGGTTAGAGGATTTAGATGTTAAGCGCTTTTAATGTGAGCAAAGAGATGATAAAAGTGTAGTGATACATAAAGTGAGGAGAATGGAGCTAAGAAAGCAGAAATGATCAATAATGGTGTTTAATGGATGCGATACGCTGGATTTATGGCGATAAAACAGTTAGAACAAATGAATAGTTCCATTACATTACACCATGAAATGGTGACGAAACTTTATAACGTTGTCATTCATGTATGTATGATTTTTATGTTTGTTGCGTTCAGTTTAAATCGTAAAAAAAGTTCCTCGCATGTGAAATTTTGGAATGAATTTTTGTTTCATTCTTTACAGATTTGTTTGAAAAAAAAAAGAAAGGAAAAGAGAAGAAATATTTCACCGTCATTACGACGATTATCAGAATTACTCTCAACAATTTGGTCTTTCGGATAACGAAACTTTGGCGCGAATGTCCTTACAAGGGCTGGAAGAATGTTACGAAAATTGGAATAAGGTAGCACTAAACGTGGCTACCTTCGACGTCACCAAATCGTGGATATTCGCGCCTGAATCCTGGTGACTTACTCTTTTCCACTCATTAACAATTCTCTTATTTTATCTGTTTTCAATTTCATTCTGCTTTATTATTCTTCTATTATTGTACCCTTACTGCAGCACCAATTATATTAACCAAAAAGAAAAAAGGTAGCCAAAAGAAAAATAGCAATAATTCATTGTTCTTCCTCAAAACATATTTCAATGTGGTGTGTATATGTAGGACAACTGTGATTTATTTTCACTGTTAGAAAGAGAAAGTAAAGCATCTACACACTAGCATTTATTGCAGTTGCAACTATAACAGTTATTGGATATTGCAACTACTGCTACCACTACTACTATTACTATTACTACTACTATTACCACAATCATCGTTACCATTATTACGACCATTACCACTACTACTACCACATTATTGTCACTCTTATTACTTCTATTGTTATTATTATTATTTACTGCTGCTGCATAATCTACTTGTTAGTGTTGTATTTCATGCTGTTTTATTGGTGATAACTAAAAAATTTCACCAAATTTCAGTATGTCCACCAATGGTGGAAGTCTTGAAGATTGTCACACGAACGTCTTTGCTTTGGTAAGTAGAATTAATAATGCATATAGATTTTTAATTATGTTTACACACGATTTGGGTATGAATAAATTTGTTATTGAAGAAAAATTACAGATGCCAGCGATCAAATAATTCTATTTAATTTATAATGATTGGTATTCAAATTCCAGTTCCATAGGTGTTCTTGAAAAGTCACATTAAAAGATGATGATATTATGCATTTATAACAGATATTACGTACACATATTCTTATAAAATTACATATTTCGTGAAGCCAACTAGCAGACAGAGAACTAGCACATTATTATTAACATACGATATCGCTTTTCTGAATGTATTTTTTATGTCTTACATTAGGAATAGATAACTTAGGGTCAAAATTTGCCTGCCATGCGAGGCTAAGAGTATAATATCATAATGGATTTTATGCACGGCATGTAAGAGATAAGAGACGTAAAAAAAAACTCAATAGACTTAACTCTCTAAGGACCTTTTCACTATCAACAAGGGATATCGTTGATATTGATTATTATTTGCAAAGATGAGGCTTAGAAAAGTCATATTTTCTACTTAGCTCTTTGTTAGGAAGTGATACATTTTTTCTTATTCACTGATCGATGCAAATTAGATTGTGCTGAGTAAGAGAAACGAAAGGAAAGAATGATGTGATGAAGTTTTAACTGTTTATAAGCAGAAGAAGAGAATAATTGTGTTAGATGAAAAGACAGGAGTGAAATTTATGTGAAGTATGAAAGCTACCGGAGGATTTTATGAAGATGGCAAGAGATGCGAAAATATTTTTGCCTAACAAGGCAGATCTCGTTAGCTAATGGATTGTTAGGTGGTTTGATTTCATTCCAATCCACATGTTGAAATTCATTGAGAATTCAATTCATGCAGAAATGCCATATCCAGTAATTGGAAAGTTATAGGAAGAGATAGAGGGATTTTTAAAAATGTTTAAAAAAAAAAGGAAAATTTCTTTTGAATTTTTAAATGAAATGAAACAAATTGTTGGAGAGTTGAGTATGAAATAATTCTTGCTTCATTTTATCCAGACGGAATTGAATGGTCTCAAGTGGAAATGCTTAACAACACCTTTGTCTCAAAGAACTTGGACAAGTTTGGAGCAGGATCCCGTATTAAGTGCTTATGCAAGATGTTTACAAGCAGGAATTCTGTGTGCTTGGAGGAGACAACCACCTCAACCACCGGCAACTCTTGCAGCTATGCAACTACCGGATTACAGAATAGATGTTGTCAAAGAATTGTGGGTTTTTTGGTATTCTCACGAGGAACCGGATTGTCTCACTGAATACACCAGCCATTTAGCATGTATGTGGACTTTTTAATATATTTCTTTTCCTTTGTTTTTTTTTTTGATTTCGATAGAAGGCTATCTATGAATATAAGGATATTAACAACACTATAATCATTTCCGTTTCCAAATCCCGAAATAAAACTTTATTTTGCATTCCAAAAAATCTAAGAGGATCAGCTAACATTCAGATTTTTAATTCATTTTCATTTAATTTACTTCTTTTCCTTTTGCTCTGTGATTGATTTATTCGATATTGTCTGCTGTGGATTCAGTTTTTTTTTTCATTTTTTTGTCTCTTTAAAATGATCCTTTGTTTATTATCTGTGATTTCCTTCCTCTACTTCTGAACTATTTTTGTCAAAATTTTTTTTAAAATTTGAATAATGAAATTTGACTTGAGTCGAATAAATTTTGTGGGTGATTTAATCATGCAGATGAACTGAAAATAAAAATACTCATCGTAAGCTTACGATAGAAAATCTAATATTTAATGATCTCGAATCTTTCGCACATCTGTCAGTAGGGACGTATCTACTAAATGTTTGAAAATTATGTTATTCTAAAAGTAAAGTTTTCAGGTGCTGAAGATGGCAAAGGTAACTGGTCGATACCCGGCATACAGTATGAAACGAGAACACTATTTTTTAAGGCACTACATAATTTGATAGAACGGTAAGTTGAAGTAGTTTTGTAAAGGGGTCATGGGAGTGAGCTAATGATGAAGTTCAGTTTTCATAGCCTCATATGTCATTATTATTGATGCACTTTTTTAAAATTTAAGCATTCGCTGAAAATTAATTTTTATACTTTGACAGCATTTTGTATTATATATTTTTCTGCTTCTTCCATGGAAGGAAAAAAGTTTTGTGAAAGTAGACAGCAGTTTTATCTGCTGTGAAAACTGAACTTCATCATAAATGTTTGATTAGCATCGAAATGAATAGAATTTATATTGAGTATTCAGTTTCAATTCCATCCTGATATTTTTTCATATTTATGGCTGTGAAGCAATCGACAAATTTTTAAAGCATAATTTATTCTACAAATTTTCGTTTCAGCAATATGCTAAAAAATGGATACATTCGTATTGGAAAATATTTTACACGTCCATACGAAGTGCCTTCATCCGATCGTATACACTGTTCTCCTAGGTATGTATTCTTCAACTTCTGTTATTAAGGAATTATTATTAACTACTGTTTTTATCTCGTTTCATGTTATATCACTTAAGTTTTAAAGGGGAAAATTTTGTCTTTTTTAAAATCGGGTAAATTTCTGCCCAGCTTTAAAAAACATGGTTGGCATTTTATGATGATTAATGGGGGAGGAGGAAAAGATGAAAGGTGCTGAGAAGAGTAATGGAGAAATCTCAGTTATATATTTTCGCATTAGAATTAACTTTTGTCTTTGTTTATATTTCTTTTTTCTTGCTTATCAATCTTTTGATTGTATGACTTTTTGCTTGCATAGTTTTCTTCCAATTCATAAAGTTACATCAAATCAAATTTGCGTGAAATCACTTCTTTTTCAGCTATGTAAATGGAATCAGTTTCAATTTTTTTGTTCATGGTGAAAATATTGTTTGTGCGACTGTTTCTGTACAACGACAGCCAACTTTATTTCGCCTTTCACGGCGTCATTTGGATTTGAGTAAGAAGCAACCGGTGATATTAGGACCATGGTCAATGCGTGCCGTATTGTTACCTGAGCAACCGAGAATTGTTGATTCCACTATACCAGTATTACAGCAACAATCTTCCACACCACAATACGGTTTGTTTCAGTCCAATTTTGTTACTGGCTTTTGTATTTTTTCTAGTTTATATCTCAGCATCACTTTTTCTTTTTCAACCCGTTTATATTCTTATAGATTAGGTTGCAACGTAGAGTTTTAGCCGGTTTGTAGTTTTAAAATCATTACTAATTACAACTGTTGATATTATTTGATTTTATTACCATAAAACCTATATATATATATATAGTTTTGGGTTATTTTATTGGAATTCATTGTTTCAGGTAGTGTCACCAATTTTTCAGCACCCTATTCAAGCAGCTATCGTGAACCGTTATCTTCTGTTGCACATCAAGTAAATCCAGTGCCATCTTCATCGTTCAATTCCGAGACCTGTAATAGTAATTATGATGGTGCAGGAACTATTTCAAAAGCTGCCGTAGACAAGTTGTGGTCTGAATGGTTGCAATTCTTCTGTTTAATTGTTAATGTTGAAAGGAATCTAAGTTCGGCAGATACTGTTGGTTATATTGGTTACACCGAAAATGTTAGTTTTTCGAAATTTTCTCAAGTTCATTTAGCCAGTCTTCTGTAACAGCAAGAAATCTTTGTTCTTGTCGAATCGTTTTGCTTGTTTCAGTGCTGCATGTCTTCTGGTAGTGAGAGTGCATGTCGAATGCAGTTGAACTTAGGTTTCATTCAAAGGAATATCCATATAAAGCATGTTGAAGCCGTGCATAGCTTAACTGAAAATTTGAATAGTTTTTTCTTGCAGACATCATCAGCTAAAAGTAGCCTGCCAAAGATGGTTTTAGTGGACGTGGATGGAGTTCATATGTGGTATCCAAGTTCATTAATTGTTGTTCAAGCTTCCGATGACTTGTTGATGAGGTATATCTTTTGTCAGCATTATTGCTGAATATGATTGACTTGAGGAGTTATTTCACGATAGGAATGAAACCTTATCTCAAAACGGTACAAACATTTAATTTAATCTTTTTTTGCTTCTGAAATTTCAAAACTGAATTATTTGCTCTTGTTATATATCTACCTTTTCGTGTTCGGAATTTACTGGAAGGTTGTTGAAAACGTTAAAGTTTTACTTTAATTCAAATTTCACAAATTTAGACAGAATGAAAAGACTACCAATGATGATGACTCAGACTTTTTCAATAGCGGAAGTAATAGTAGCAGTTTTACTGCGCGAACACCACCAGCTACTGGAGCACATACTAGGTTACGAAGCACTCCATCATTCCGGAAACGGAAAAAAAGGCTAAGCGAATGTGACGTAGGACCAAATGCTGAACGACATAATGCAATGTATGGATCGATGGTGAATGGCGCACGGGCAGCACAAAGGTTGATTTTTTTTCGGTTGTTAGTTTCAAATTTGCATTCAAATTTTATCTTAACGAAGAAGAAAAAAGTGGCAGAGTTATATTGTCAATTAAAACATGACAAATACTAATAGATGAAATCAGTCACTGCATATTCTATTTAATCCTTTTGAACCAATTTCTGCTGAATTAGAAAAATTTCTGAAAAACTGAGAGTTTTTACAAAAAAAGCTTCTAAGGCTTTTATAAATCCGTTTAATGTCAAACAATCAGTTTTAAGGTTTTTTGAAGAATCCTGCATTGCTCCGGCAAACAGTCGACGGAAAGAAAACACGGAATCACCCTCCTCTTCTGGTTTAGGTCTTTTGATGTCAGCTGCTGCAAATGATGACGACTGCCGGTATTTTTCATTATTTCTCAGTTTAGCTAAGTTTTTTCGTATTTCAATTCATTTTTATTTATGAATTTTTTGAAATGAACATGCAAGAGGGGAGACATTAAGATTGTATAAATGTATAAAATTTCAAAAAAGATGTTTTGGTGTTTTGATTTTAGTGCTTTTAAGTGGATGCAATATATTCATTGCATCAGCACAGTTATAGTAGGCTTAAATTGATTCACGTCTGTGCAAATTTTCCATAATGTTGAATCAAATATTACTGATTCATATGAAAAACTTTTTAAGGTGGAATTTCACGGATGGAATGCGACGAAAGGATCGTGAAGAAGGATGTGGTTGCCATCAATGTCGTTTGCAGTCTGGTAGCACTGCCACTATTCCTAATCTATCATCACAATGTGTAACATCTCAACAAGGCATGTCTCTGTTTGTTCTTTGAGCATTTTAATATTTCTTTACAAGAATTTGTTGCCATTTTATTTATTTATTTATTTATTTGCCCGTCTGCATGATTCTACTTTTTTAATCGATTTTAACTCAGAAAGTAGTAATGAGTTTTCACATCCCGTCATTTTTAATAAATGATTATTTGAGAAATCGGTGAGAAATCGGTACCTGTTACTTTCAGATGCTTGTATTGGCCAGGAGCGTAATCAATCCTGTCGTACGCCAATTAATTTCCCGAGTAACGGCTCTAGCTTGGAAGTGAAAAAGGAGTTAGTTATCTTCTTTTAAAAAAGAATGGGGAAACGTGTAGCTAGTTAAAGAAATATGATAGAAGAACTGTTTGTTTTCATAATTTCTACACTTTGTTTGTATTCTCAAGTTACTCAAAAGCAGTCCAGTTGTCATTTTTGCTTCTAGGAGACCAGCCGTATTTCATCGACGTTCTTCATCCTGTGCACGATCTCTGTCACCACCACGATCACCGCCTTGGGAAAAGAAAATTCTAGCAACCAGTTCGGAAGCTGTAGATGGTGAACATAATCTTGACTGGATACGTGAAAGCTATTTTCGTAACTCCAGAAGTAGTTCAAGGTCTGGACACATGGATCCACTACATGGTGAGTAAATTTTTTAAATGCATAAATAAGCTTATTGATAACCGCGTTATGCTCCCTTAACTCAGTGTTTTTAACTTCACAAAAAAATAACTTTAATTCATTTATATATGAGATTTTTTGATTAGTTCTATATATGATTTCAAAATTGGCTAATTTGCTGCTCTCTAATTTGGCTGATTTTGCGGGATAAAGTTTCTTTGCAATTTTTAAATTCAAGTGATTTGGTTACTGATCATTGTGCTCTACAGAAGATAGGCATATATGTCCGAAAACGCCAGATGCTTCAGCGATTACGGAATCTCCGGAACGTCGACGGGTGCAGAGAAATTCCGTGCAAATGTTTAGTAAAATTGGAAGCTGTAAACCAGTCTATCAAAATTTAAGTCCTACCAGTCGGTAAATCTAATCAATTCTTGACATTTTATTTTTTTATTATTTTTTGATTAAGTTTATGAAAATTGTCTTTTTGTGCACCTTATGCAAATGAAAATTTAAGAAACAAAATTTTTAGTTTCGATTGTGCGTAAGTGCGTAAGGTCAATCTCACCCGCAGAACTGGTTTCTTTTTCAAAAAAGAATTAAATCATCACAACACTTTAGGCCACGTTCCCCAGCTTGCGATACATCCCAAGCAGAATCATTGAATCGCATACAGTCGAAGGATTGTTTAAGTAATGATTTTGCTTCACTACCAGCGAGAAAAAATGGATCTCCGATTGTAGAACAACAACCTAATTTAATTAGCAGTTCACGATTAAAAATGGTTCGTTTTCAAATTTAATTGGATTTCAAACTCGTTATTTTTAATAAAAATTCAAATTTATTATTCACTTGTGGCAACAGATTAATGGTGAAATAAAATATTGATTAGTTTTTTAAGAACCAAGCAAATAGAACTGATCTAAGCTTAGAATCGAGTTGTTTAATTGGTGAAAATTCCATGTGCTCTATATATAACTGCTTCCAACTTCGATTGTAAAATTTAGTGAGCTAATTTGAAGCTATTGGTTTCATCGTATCATTTGTTAGGACAACTTTTTTTAGGGCAAAAAGTCTAAAGGGCGAAAACGAAAAGCAGATGAGAAGATAGAGTGGAGTGGTATCGAATCATTGGATGTATCGTTTCTGACATCAAAAGTTGGTGTAGGTATTTTTTCGAAGAATGAACAAATTTCTTTTACAAATGCTTGCACAGGTTTCAATTATGTTTTGCCAGACTTTAATGCATGTTTTGTACTACGATGCAAAACAAAATTTGAACAAATAAATGATGGAATATTGAAATATTACTGGAATATCTAACTTAAAACTTCCAGTAAGTTGTTAAGGAATTCTTTATGTACTCTTTATGTACTAAGAATAGTACTGAAACCAGGAATTCAATTCCAGATTTTTTCAAGTTGATAGGTTTCATTTTGCAGGAAGGTGATGAGGATGGTGATGACACTAATTTCATATGCTCTGGTGAATTTAAACTTCGTGAATGCAAGTTGGAAATCAGAGACGAAACAATCGAATCCTCGAGTAGCCGGTCGATAGTACCGCAAACCGGATCTTCTCTTACTAGTGTTTCAACTTCTCAGGCACAAGACGGTGTGCGCAATTTGCCGGTGTTCTCGCAGAGTACATTTTTTTTTCTCTCAAAATATTAGTAAAAGTATTGTTATTCATTCCTAAAAATTTGCTTTTTTATTGGTAATGAAGATAGTGATTTGTTTTTTCTTATCGATGGAGATAGATACTTTAAACATGTGTACATTTTTTGAAAGTCAAAAACAGCATTAAAACGCGACATAACATTTTAAACAACGACACAAAAGCATTGCATTAATTTTACGCATATTATGGGTATCTGAAGAATTGGTTTTGAAAATGTTTCATTTGATATGTTTTGAAATTTAATTTTCAAAAATTATTTTTGAGACATTTATAGAGATGTTTTTCTCTTTCAGGCGGGTCTGTTTTGCCATCGAGTACGGGTGTTAACTTGACCCCCAGTATTTTCACTTCTGACTGTGATACTCAGCCTTTGTTTCTCGATGATTGTAATCCATCCAATATTGCAGTGATCGAAAGAAGAAGTCCGGTTGATGTAAATTTTATTATTTTAATGGAAGTGTAGTTAAATTTAAGATTAGATTCTGGGAAAGAAGTGAAATAGTATGCAATATTTTGAGATTTGGTAGCCGATCATTCATGAAAGAAATAATTTGATGAGTTTTGAGATAAATCGAGAGTGAAAAAGGAATAATGTTCTGCTCTTTCTCAGCTTACAGCCATTGTTTCCTTCACAGACATCATATCAATGATTATAATTTAAGTTTTTGAAAATTATATCCCGGGAAATTTGATTAGTTCAAAATATATCTTCGAGTCTTTTTTCTCCCAATATTAATTTTTTCAGACTGTTGTAACTGATTCGGTGCATTTATCTCCTCCAGCAAGCAATGAAAGGGTCGAACCCACGCAGATTTTGGGAGGAACTGTTGCAAATGTGGTTTGTTTATTTCGATTTCTCGTCTAACCAAAAGTTTTAATTTCAAAACCTATTTCAATTTGAATAGTTTCAGTGAGGTCTATCTGGGTTTGTCCAAGATATCATTTGAAATCCTTTATGAAGTTTCCAAATTGCTTAGAAATATTTCTGAACTTTTACACTTCTTTCAGATGGCGCGCATTGGCGGACCTCCGTCAGTTGGCGATTACATGATATATCCAACCCCTCCATCAGTTGATGCAACTCAAGTAAGTTTTACCATCTATTGAACAATTAATTGGTTGCTTTATGCCTGTCAAGCTATGATATTTAATTACCTTTAATTCTATTAATTTTTTCTACTCCAAGGTCTTTTACAAGGGAGCAAGAAAGGATTTCTCATCTTTCATTTATAAAATTTTTGATTTCATATCATAATTTTCATCGAGAAAAATTTATAAAATTCATTTCTTTTCAGTCTCAACAGTTTAGTCCTCAAAATACGCTCATACAGACAAATCCAACTAGTATTCTCTACCCGCCAACGGTTTCGTATATGGCAGCAGCAGCGGCTGCAGTAAATCATTGTCATAATATTCCTCCTGTACAATTACCTCCTAATATTATTTCGGAAACTGATATTACTACCGAAACTGTCTCAACTGTGAAACAGGAATTTGGTAATGACGATGAAAGACTTCTGGTTTGTTTTCAATACTTTTATCAGAAAATACTATGCAAGTTGTGGTTTTTATTTATTTGGGCGTAGAGCGTCTGCTTTGTATTACCATGAATAAGAACCAGATTTTTACGAGTTAACCTCAATTCTAATGTGTTTTACTTATTCGCTTTAAGGACTTTCTAAAAGATAAAACCAACAAATTTAATTTTTCTTGTTTAAATCAAGAATATATATAATAAATATATACATATTCCATTCAGTCATTTTTTAAAAATGCTAAAAATGCGTGTCGGAAATAAAAACTGAAAGTAGTCTTCCTCTCATTTATAAAACTTTGCAAAATTTAAAAAGTAGACTGCAAACGCAGCTGATAAACAAACTCCTGATATATGTTTTTTTCATACCACTTTCGTTAATCTAAATTTTACCATAAATCTGACAATTTATGCAGTATTTTTTTTTTTAAACAAAAAATTGTTTAAATAAATATATTGCAGGGTAAGCTTCATTATTCGATTGGTGAAAAGCCGGTATACGGTAAATTTATGAAGTTGGAGATGGCACTAAGTGGAAAGTTTGCTGGGAATATACTTGCCAAAGAATTTTTGTCGTTAGAGGTAAAATCTTCATGTGGGGATGCATGTAAAAAAAATAGGAGAGGTGAAGAGAAAGGATGAGATAAGTGTTATTTATAGGTTTAATTTTCTCTTACGGAATTTTTCTTAAATAGTTTTATTTTTCCTACCATTAAAGGAGTAAAAACTAATTTTTCAGTATAAATTTCAGTATAAATTTTTGCAATAAAACTTTTTCAGTATAAATTTTTTCGAAATTAAAAAATTTTCAGAACTGCATTTTGATTTTACCATTCCAAAAGCTTTAAAATCTTAGGGAAAAGAATGTCGACTGCTAGAAGGTGTCTATGCAGATCAGTTAAAGCTCATCAAAACTGCTGTCGCGGCACGCGAGAAGCGGAGAAAGGTTGGTCGTGCTCCAGATTATTTATTTATGCGTGAACGTTTTCGGAATCTTGCTCCGCACTCATCCTTCTCAACTGTTCGTCATTATCGAATGCCATATAACAATGGTCATATGCTTTCCTCGCACTGTCTACCAACATTGCAAAGTATGTTTTTGAATATTTGGTTTTAAAACATGAATTTGATCCCGTGTTAAATGTAAAGAAACTGAATATTACTTCATACTGAATGATAATTTTACTTTCATTCTTTATCTTGGCAGTTTAAGTTTTACATGTTTATCGTTTTAGTTATTCTGAAGTTTTATTCATATACTACATCGCTTCATCGTTCTTTATTCAAATTTATTCACAAAGTTTATTCAGAATTCTAAAGTTTTATTCATTGATAATGTTATCTAATTCAGAAGAGTCGAAGTTAATATCTGAATCTGTCTATTTACAGTGTTACCACATGGTGTATCAATGCCTAATTTTATTACAAATGGGCCACCATTTGCGGGGGCATCGTATAATGGCAATAATTCAATGATTAGCATGATGGTGAGTAATGGCTGTATGCCAGCTGGTGGTACTACTATTGTGCAACCGATGTCTGGTTCGTCACGAATGGGTGTCGTTCATATGAATCAACAAATGTCGATGGCACATCTTCGGCCGTTAACAAGGTTTGTTTCAGATTATAAAAAAATTAACTACTGGTTTTAAATTTCTAACATGATTTTGAAAATCATGTTTAAAGGGTGTCTTTCAGGATACCATCTATACCGCCATACGCTTCATCACAGACCGATGCACCGCAACATCACTCTTTTATGGGCCAATCAGCTCAATTCTGTGGTCCACACGGAGTGATGAATGCTTCAAATCCGATCTGCTCATTTCCGGGTGGTTCACTGTGCTCGATGAATACTGGACCAGTGCAGTCATCGCACATGCTTGGTGGAATGCATGGCACAACTCCACCGCAACCATTAGGCGCAAACAGTATGTATGGGGCAGGACCACCAAACGGACAGTTCTCCATGCAACAACCACAACAACCATTCCAACAGCTCAGTCATTTTGTTAACAATGCGAATTTCAATGGACAGATGGGAATGACAGCTGTGAATCCATCGCAGCAGAAAATCTACCAACAGCAGGTATTCGATGCTCCTGAATATTCCTTAATTTATCTCAATCCGTTATTTAGTTGTAGGATAAAATAGTTTCAGATATCTAGGATGGTAACTTCAACATCTATTAATATTAGCAATAGATTTTTTTTTATATTTTTTTTGTTTTTATATTTTTGAAGAAAAAGTTAGTTATGTTTTTTCTGAATTAAAAAGAGATTTGTCCAATTTCAGATGATGTTCCGTTGTAATATGAATGGAAACTTGCCAGTACAACATGCCATTCATTCATCAGATTCCTATGGAATTGATTCGCAGGTTCGATCATGTATTATACTAGTTTAAAATTGAGTAGTATCGAAATTACTCTGTAACATTTTGGGGGCTTAATAACTGCAAATGGGACCAGTACATTATCCAAAATTCTAAAATCAAACAGTCCATGATTTAAGATTATAACGTTTATTTTACAGGGTCAAGCATCAGTCGAACCACCGCCACCATTTTCTCAAGCAATAAATCCTCCATACCCTACAGTTAACGTTCAAGCTGGTTCAATGATGTATTCGCAGTCACACCACATAATGCGTCCGAATACATTAATGGCGCAAGCGCAGAACCCAAACATGATGTGTGGTCAGAGGACATCGCAGAATTCTATGATAGCAGTGCAACAATCTATCGGAAGTCCTAATAATGGCGGATTATTCGGAAAGTAAGTGAATTCAAAGAATTTATTATTTGTCAAGTACTTACCAAGCAATTAAATAATGAGAAGCATGTATGTCATAATAATTATTAAAGTTTGTGTAGTAAATAAACTTTACTAAGAAAATCATTTTTTATAAATATGCTTCCATTCATAAATTGTTAAAACCTTCTTTAGCCGTCTAATGAATATGACGCCTGTCATGGAAACAACTGCTGTTCCACCGAGTAACATACGGACACATCCGGAAGGGAAATCCTTGGTACTTGCTGTACTGCTTCAGGATACTGTTCTGGATCTTCATTATGATTCAGTCTTTGATGCGTGTCCAATTTGTTCATGCAACGGCAGCATCAGAGCGAAGGTTTTTTTTATTTGTCTATAACTCATTATCTTACTGAAAAACTGGGAGTAAAAGTTAAGGTTTTTCTGTTGAAATGGAGGAGATCAACCTTATGAAAAAGAAGGATAATATTAAGATTAGATAAAAATTAAATGAAATCTGAATGGATTTTCAGGAACTTGGAGTCTATATAACACCACCAGAAGTGCTGAGACAACCACCAGCGCAGCAGCAGCTAATTGTTAGCAAACCAACCAGTGGATTTTATAATAATACATCAAATTCGTGCAACTGTGGATTTAGGTATGTTTTCTAAATATTTGATCCATCTTTCTAATTTGGGAATTAAATTTTTGTTTGAATTTTTTAGGAATATTTATACTGATAGTAATTGTCTTTCGTTAGTTTTCTCGTTATATTCTCAGGAAAATATCAATGCCAATGACGCATTCGTCGTCAGGTGCTAAATTGATACATTATGTAAATTTTATCTTGGCTTTGTAATTTGAGAGCTTTACTGTCATACATGTTTCCATTAGCTTCGCTTCAGTGCTGTGCGTCATCGTTACTTAAGTATGAAAGCTGGTTTATTCGCTGAAGATGCAAAAGAAGCAACAGATATTAATGAAACACAGAATCAGCCAGCAATTCCACATACCATTTGGTTCGACTCAATGAGTGGACGGTTGGATCTCATTTATATTGAGAAAGATTATTAAGTTGCTAAAGAATCTTCTGGTTCTAAAAAAGATAAAAAAACATATTTGTTGACGTAAATGAATTTGCTTAAGAATTTCTTTAATTAAATATGAAATGTATAACACTATGATGACACTAGCAGTTAACAAGTTCTATAAAGTGAAATTAAATAAGTTTTTTTTATTTGACTTTATCAAATGGCATCTAAGAATTTACTTGGGACTGTATTTTTAAGGGATATGAATTTCATCGCTTTACTGCGTGAACAAACACTTGTACGTGATCTCGGTGGATTGTTAGACCAGGTTACGTTACTCAGCTTACAATGTGAGCGAGCCTCGCAGGTAAATATTATTGGAACAAAATTTTTAGAGTCTATAAGATTCAATGATTTGAATAGTGCATCGTAATAGTAGTAGGCGGCTGATAGCGCAAGGATAATGGTGTAAATGAATTCGAAATTTTAAATGTATATTTTTTTGCTAAGGGTGTATGTATAAATAAATTTACAAAATTTTGAAATATGTGATTTCAAGTTTTCAATGATTTGAATAGTGCATGCGTAATAGTAGTAAAGCGGCTGATAGTGCAGGAATAATAATAAAAGCTTATTATATAAATTTATTATTTTTAACAGACGGAACGCATTGGATCCGATTCATCAAAGCATTGTGAGTATATCATTTCGGAGGTGGATCAACGGGAATTACCATTGGTATTTCAAGCTGCTTGCGAGGTTGCTTGTATGGAAATGAACTGCCGACGTCCACCACACGATGTGCGGAGTGTGCTTCTTCATGACTGGGGAGTTCAGGTGCGTCATTGCTAAAAAAAATAAAATTGAGGAAAAGGATGACAGTTGATCAAAAAATCAAATAGATAAAGAATGGATTTATTTCCACAATTAAATGAAAAAATAATTTATTAAATTAGAAATAGAATGATTGTAGATTTAAAGAGAAGTTCTTAGCATGAATGTGGCTACCATTCTTATTGCAGGTATCGAACGAAATGCGTGAACCACGTGAGTCTGAATGCATGGCGTTGTTGCAAGAAATCGGACCAATTCTAGAAGAATCTTTACGAATTGCTCGTTCATCACCACTGTTCGGAAGTAACAACATAGTGGAAGGACCGCTGACATGGCGATTTTTCGATCGTAAAGCACTAAAAGCTGCTGGAGGAATGGTATAATTTCAGTTGATTTAATTCGATTCCTATCCTCTTGCTGATAGCATCTCAATGTATCCCTGTTTTCATGGATTTATAATTTTTCTGCTAGAACAGAAACTGACACTTTTAATTAACAAATCCCAGTTTAGTTCCTGGGATTAAAATGTCTGTTTGCAGTTTTCGCTTTAGGTTAAAAATTTTCCATTCCTGGTTTTTACATTCTTCAAATTATTAAGTTCCAATATAAGTTGTAAATTTACGCATTTTATTGATTCTGCTTTCAATTGTATAATTTTGTTTGTATTCCTGGTTTTTTTAGGAAATAGTTAGAATTTGAAAAGACTTCAACTTTTCGAATTTTAATTATTTCCTACAAAAGGTGGTAATCAAAAAAATCAAAGCTAAATTATTTTTCAGGAAGATGATAGCGGGCCGGAAGCCGTGCCAAATATAGTTGTTGCAACAGAAAAAGATGCAATTATAACATCGCCACAGATCATAAGATTGTGGGAAAAGATGTCACTGGAACCGTATGATCAGCCGAAAGATGTGCTTTATATCGGTGTTGTTCCAGATAATCTGATTTGCATCGAGAAGACAAAAAAATATCTCATGGATTTGTCTAAGTAAGTTACATTAATTTCTTTTTCAAGCAAATTTTAACAATTTTTTCAGCAAAATGTACTTGTATAAAATGCTCACTAACACTTCAATAAATCATCAGCCGCTTCAGTTACTTCACTTTATTTATCCAGTTCGTTCACGCATTTTACTAACGTGTTTTCCTTATTACAATAATTTTTCGTTCGTATACTTATTTAACTAGATCGAACTGTATCTATTTACTCTCTTTTAGGATTTGTAATAATTGCGTCGTTGACATAGCAGTACTTTTACTTTTTTGGTGAACACTAAGTGTTAAATAGCAAATTATATAGCATTCAAATCCGTTTCTTTATTTGCAGAATGTACGAGCAGTGTCGTTTTGGTCGTCATATACCATTTTCACGGGAAGCGTTACGAGATGGTCTTTTACGTGTCCCGACACGGTATCCAGCAACGAATCTGGGTGAATGTGATAATTTCTTGAATCAAGTTGAGCGACACATTGGCGATAACAAATCGTTGATTACGCGATTAAAGGTTGGGGATTGTTGATAATGCCTTTTTTGAAGATTAGAAACGGTAAATTTTTATTAACCAAAGTGAGAAATCAAGATGCCGTTGCAGAGCGATGATATTGTTTGTCATTTTTGTAAAAAAGGAATCACAGTTTAGAATTTCTTACGCTCTTTCTACCTTGGTCAATATCGAAATATAATTTTTTAATTTTCCCACATTATTTTACTTCCATCGTGATTGGTTCCAGGTATATATGCAATATTTCGAAAATGAAATGGCTCGCATATTGATTAACAATGATGATATCTTCGGCCGGGACAAATACCGTGCTGCTTTGGCTGAAAGTCAGGTAACGTCATTATTTTTAGTTGTTGTCAATTTTTGTACTTTCTAAAACATATTTGTCAAAATTCATGATCTTCCGGCAATTTAAAGGTTGAGAGGCACAATTCTATTGATATTTTATATTACTGCTTCTTTTGCAGAGGGATTAATGCTTTATTGCGATATTTTTCAATTTCAGATGCATTCTGTGCCACATATTTCAATGACAAGTTATCAATGTGGAGGTTATACATCAAGTTCCGATCACATGCCACCACCTTCGGCACCTGGAAGTATTATGATTTCCGGTCAGTCTACTGAAACCTCACAAGGTATCTATCTTTTCTAGTTGATTGATAATTTTGTAAAATGTTCTCTCAAAGTGCCTAAACTGTTTTAATTCAGGCCCAAGTAGTGCGAGCGCTCCTAGTTCAACTGCTGCGACATCTTCAGGCATCGGCGAATCTTTAATATCAGACGGTTCTATTGGTGATGGAACCGCTCAAAATATGACCAATTTTTCATCTTTCATGGCTGAACAGCTAATAGCTGATGGTATCATAGCGGAGGATGAACCGGGAACTCTACCTCATGTTATTGTCATCTACCTCGTAAATATTTTTTCTTGCAAATCGAATTTTGATCTATATGGACTCGAAAATTGTAAAAAGCAAAGCGATTTTTCGTGGATACATGATTGTGATCAGATGATTGTTTCTTTCACTTAGTTAATTGAAATAACTTTTTCACTAATTAATTAAAAAATTGTAGACTTGTCAAGCTTGCCCGTTAAGTCTTGAAAATTTACATCAAAATTCAGGTGAATCCGTTTTTATTGGGTGCTGAAGAAAATCCCCTTGTTGCAAGAGTTGTTACGGTTGCTCTAATGCGTGCATTTAATGCACTCCTTTACCGTTTAAACAATAAGCGTCGACCACAGTTACAATTGGAAATGATTGCATTACAAAGTATTTTCGATTATTGCGGTGTTTCTGCTGATTTCCTAAAAGATGAACGTGGACGTTTGAATGGTTATGATCAGGGTATGATGTTATTTTTATAAACTGAGTCATTTTAAAAGAAAAAGATTGCTGGAAGAATTTTCATTTACCGTGGCATGTTTAAAAAAGTTAAGCTGTGTTATTTCTATCAAGATAATTACTGACAAATCAGTTACCTTATATGAGATCTATAAATATTTTAATTTCAAAACTTTAGTCCAGTAAATTTTCTTAAAAATTCAGTTTTTCCCGTATAAGAAATTCAGCGTTTGATTAGTTTGATTTTTCAGGATGTTTGGAGAAATCACAAAATGAACGATTATCATCATCCGATTCACTCAAAACTGTTGCATTTTCGGTTTACACACATTCGCGTGTGGTATTACCGGATATTGTACGTGGGATTTTGCCAAAAAGTATGACCCGTTTTGGTCCTGCATCGGCTATGGTTGATTTGTTAAACGAACTGGAACGAAAAGAACCTATTTATTATAAGGTATTTTCCATTTTTACTACGTTTAGATATTTGGTTTTGCTGTAACGATGGAAAGCTCCAGATATATAACTGGCAACCTTGCCAAAAAATCATCTCAGGTCACTCATTTGAATTGTATTACGAACCATATAAAGTTACTTGAAAGTGCTTGAGATATACTTATTTTTAAGCTCCACGACCTCCGAAAAATATAACATGATTCTTTCAATAATTATTCATTTCAGGTTCCAAGCAAACCATTCATTCTCGCGCCACCATCGCCGGTAATGCAGCGTTCTAATTGTGATCTCATGCAAATCAATACTGATGAAGCTGTACTGTTTGTTAGTTATTGTTTAATAGGGAATGATTGGCTTGCTGCAACCGTAACAGACCATCAGGGCCATTCACTCGACAACTGCTTAATTAATTTGAGATTAAAACCTGATCATAAAAGGTATGTTGTTTAACCTGCTCAAACAATTATGTATTGTTTAGCTTAAACATAGTAATTACATTGTTTCGGCAAAATCATTTATGACAACGAAAAGATAATATTTTGACAATATGTAATGCATTCTGGGATAGCTTTCATAAGAAAACTTGACCGGATAACGAAATTTTTTGAATAACTTGGAAGTCTAATCGTGAGCAGTATATCTGGTTACATATCTGGGTAACATAGTTCAGTACAAACTGGCGATCTCGTAGAAAATGCTGGTTGATTATAGAGTGAATATGAGGTACAAACAATCGACACAGATTCGGGATAGTTTGTATCGTCTGTGGTCATATATTCTGGGTACGCTGGCTAATGGCACCAGGAACTGGCGGCTTGTTATCGGTAGAGTTGGGCGAATTGGTCATGGAGAATTTAAATGTAAGTTGTTAATATTTAAATTACATTTATTGTCCCCGAAGTATTGGTATTAGGCAGACCTCCAAAAAATTTTATTTCAATCTTATTTTGATGCAGTAAAAAGTAATTCAGTATTTTAAACTTGAAATTAAATTATCCGACGAATCATCAGTCCGAAATTTTCGAATTTTAGCTTAGCTATTTTTGCTTTTCATGCAAGTAACTATCCCTTTTTATCATATTTCATTGCTATTTCGTAATGAATTTGGGATTTTTTAGTTTTCTAATTTAAATTTCTATTGTTTTGAACTAACTGAAAGGTAATGGAGTCTCTGCTTTGATAATTAAATTTGATTAAATAGTCTTACTCATTTCAGTTTGGACTCAAATTCTGAGCAAATCTTATTTGAAACAGGTTGGAACACGCATGAAACATGTATGCCGTGCATGCCATGTGATGCCTGGGACTTCGGTAATTTTTTTTACTTATTGTTATTTACGAACAATGTTCATCAGTTTTATATTTGAATCTGATTGTGTTTTTAATTAGATTTAAATCCACTTGATTAATTTAGAACTCATAAATGGCTTATGAAAAAAATGGATTATCATCAAAAAAAAGTTAACAGAAGTTAACATTAGTGTTTTAGGAAGTTCCCGGAGTTTTGTCCGCTTGTTTGGTCAGTTTGGAGCCCGAAGCTCATCTTCGTGTTTTCCCATCATCCTTTCAGCACGATGATCGTTTCCTGAAAAATTCCCGACATCGTACATTGACAACGCCAGATGATACAAGCTGTACACATATTTTAGTTTTTCCTACCAGTCCTGAGTTGAATGTATGTTTTCTTGAAATATCTCAAATGCATATCGGGTTCTGTTTTTTTAAATATTCAATCAATATATTATTTGCTCGTCATACAGTTTTTTAAAATTTATTGCACTCAGAACTTTAATTTTCTTTAAAATATAAATACGTAAAAAGTGCGCATATACTTTTGTGCAGTTAAAGTAGGAGTTAAATTTTGAAAAGTTAAAAATCCGGCGAGCAAGACCTATTATTCTAATATGATTTAACTTCTTAATATGTGATTTCGAAGTGCCAGCACATGTTAATTCTGCTTAAAAGTAAAAGAATAATGGGTTCAGATGTTTGCCACTTTTTCATCACCTACGATTTAAAAGATTCTATTATATGTCACGTGATTTTAATATTTTTTATGCTTGCTCGATTAACACATTGCAGTTAGATCATCAAGGTGGAAATGGCGTTGCCGAGTTGGAGGAAGATGATTTTTCAAATTTGTTGACGGAAGAAATTGGTGAGGAATTCAGTGAGTTGATTGGGAATGGTGAGGACTTGATGACAAATGGCACTGGACCACTACCGCAATCGACAAGCTTTCGACTGGGTGGAAATACAGGAATTCCAAGTGAATATGCTGGTAAGTGCACGTCTTTCACAGTGACATTATTGATTAAGATCAAACATTGTTATTCTTAGCAGTAAGAGTTAATTGGATTGCAATGCAATTCTGTTTTTCTTTTCATTATTTACATTTCTATTCAAAATGGTTGAAGATATTCCTAAAAAAAGAGCCACAAAATAAGAACAGACCCAGCATGCTTGTTTACTTTTTGTTGATTTTATTGCAGTGAATAGTATTTTGGTTTTAAAATTTTGTGAATTTTACATGACACAATCACACTTTTCAGCTAGTTTTTATAAATTTATCACATTATATCTTTCACACTACTATTGTTTTCAGAAAAATTATATTTCTAGACATTTCGATAGAAAATCAACCACTTGCAACCGGTTACTATATTTCAACAGCACCAGCATCTGATTTACCGGAATGGTTCTGGTCAGCTTGTCCTTCTGCAAAACGACGAAATCCAGTACACCTAAAAAGTTCACTTCATTTAAATACACCGAATGTTCAACAAGGCGATGATATCTCATCATTTGGTAAGAGTACCGAAGCTTGTCATCATCAGTTGGATAGCCAGGCAACAGCCGATGTCCTCAGGTATCATTCATATCAAGAAACGTTCTGAAAGTATCAGTTGGACAGCATTTTTCTTAACCTTATATCTTCTGAATTTAAATTTGTCTGTTATATTTTCTGAACTCTTTAAGCATGGTTACCACGCTCTTATCATCATTCTTCTTTATCTTACTTAGAGACGTTTCATTTTTATCGTTGAGATTAAATATTACTTTTCAGAATATATTTTACTTGACAAAATATATTTTACTAACCCATTTTTCTTATAAGCTCCTTCTGGAAGAAAATTCCACCTTAATTTCAGGTATGTTTTGGAAATGTACAATGCCTTATCTTGGCTCAATATGGATCTGGTAAGTGGCGAGCGGCGTTCCTGTCTACCCGTTCATATTCAAGCTCTTATGTGGCTTTGCAATGCTGTTAATCGCTTCATCAACTGAAAGATGAAGAGAATTAAATATATATCTTGTCTTAAGCTCAAAAGGATGCTGTGATATTTGAGGTTTCGTGCCAAATTTTTGAACTGTGAGATTAATTTAGTCTGAAAAGGCGCAGGGATGAATTTGAGATTTGGGAAATTTTACTCGCAACGAAAAATGTAAAAACTGAACCAAAATTTCTGAAGTCAATTTGCGTCGGTAATTCGGCTTATGAGATTCGCAGAAATAATGGATAATTGTTTTATTTTTCATATTAGTTGAACATTTGAGTCATTTATTAGAAAACTTTTCACGGACTCTGAAAGCTTTTTAGTGCTTCTCTTTATTTCCTTCACATGAAATATTTGGAAATTTATTGTTTTCTTGCGAATTTTATTCAGAATTGTGAATTATGTAACAATTCTTATCTATTGTGAGAAAAAGACATGGTTCTAGATTGTATTTCATTTCATTTTAGATTGTTCTTCATTTTATTTATTTTTATTTTCAGCAGTCCTTCTGATATTCATAATTTCGATTTCGATAAACATGTTCGTTTTTCGCTTTATTAACAGGTTTTGCATTTTTCTGATTTCATGTTTTTATCCGTTTTTCTCAATTTGTAAGAATTTTTTCAAAATAATTTATTTTTATCATTTCTTTTTTGTTTTTACATAAAGAATTAGAAAATCCTTGTATGCAGTGAACGATAGAATCTCAGGCTGATATATTGAATGACAAATATGGAAGGAATTTCTTTCCCTAATTTAAAATATTCTTGGTTGGGATATTGCACTTGCAGTTTTAAATATTAATTTTGAGCCCAGTGTGTGGTGCATCGTAACATTCTTCTTTAACTTTTATTTCTTTTTTACAACTGCATCTTGGATTAAAAAACTTTGAATTGTATTTTTCCCGAAATCATGATTTCGAATTACCACTATTATTATTTTTTTCATGTTTAGTATATCTTCAGGGATATTTATAACTTCTGGAAAATGAGAAAAAAAGAAAATTTGACGTTTTCTTTCTGGAAGTTTCTGGGATCTTGTTGTGTTCTTTTTTATTCTTAGCTAGGTGTACAAATTATAATTGTTTCGATTTATCGTTTGCCGTTTGTAATTTGTCTATAAATATGGTTTATTTTTATTTGTTCATTTCTCCATCCTCTTTCCCATATTTGTCAGTGATTGCATCATTACATCATTCGAATCATTACTGTTATATTATTTGCTTAGTTAATAGCCCAGCTATGAATTGCAATATACGGATTTTAAATTTAATTTCGTTTTACTTTCGTTTATCTACATTTTTGCATGGATTATTTATTCCATAGATTTATTTTAAAATAAACAAATTTGTATTTAGGTGATGAATACGGTCGTCTTTTGAAGAAGATATCTTAAAAGATGTAATTTATTGTTTTATATTTGTAAGAACAAATTGAAATCATACTGTAAAATTGGTACTCTCGTAATGTTACTTTTCATTTTCGCATATTTCAAATTTTTATGCTTTTACTTTTTTCAATGTTTATTTGAAAATATTTTTGTGTTTTCTTTTCGTAATGTTATGGTTTTTATTGTGATATTTGATGTTAAACGATGCAAATGAAACAACAATTTGTTTGTTTTATGCTTTTTATTCTCTTCCATTACGATTCAGTTCTTTCCGCTATGAAAATGAGGAGTGCTTTTCTTAAATTGAGTAGTCCGAAGGCTAATTTGAAACTGGATGTGATAAATGTATATTATAATTTTAATAAGTATTACTAGATAGTGGGAGATTAAATGTTGGTTTTCATAAAAAACGTCAAATGTTGTATAAATTTCCTCATGAGATTTATTTGCTGTTATAGATTTAATATCTTTTAGAAAAAGGGATATATCATTAATAATATCAATTTTCGTTGATTAGAAGTTCAAAATTGTTTGACGGAGGAAAGAGCTTTCAATTTTGTCTTATGGAATTGACAGCACTACTTGTCTGATTATTACCTTCTACCCTTTAAACATTTTTTTGGAGTTTTCTGATATGCTAAGTTGTCACATGGTTGGTATTAGAACTTTGATGAATTGAAATCTGCTGATGTAAGAAGTTTCTATATCACAGATATCAGGTGCAGCAATTGGAAATTATCACTGAATGTTCGGTCGCAATGATGATTAGCTGCGTTTAAATACACATGTACATCATTTCCATAATTGTTTCCCTGACAGTGATTAATAGGAACGAATAATTGTTGATGGCACTTCACTTATTAAACTTGTAGCGAATGGTCGGAAAAAGGAATTGGTCCTGGGAAGGTATGTTAATGAGCATTAGAAAGCTAAAGTTAAGGGGGGGAGGGGGAGTTGGGAATTCATTTATCTAAAACCGCTTCAAATGCAATATGAAATAAAATCATGCTTATTTGAGAAGCTTCAAATATCAAATTCAGTTCAGGAAATTTCCCAATACCTAGAATGGTAGCTTGCGGTTCATCGGGTATTCGGACAAATATGTTTTTTTTTTTTTTCATTAAACAAGTTTTTTCTTTGCTTTCAAAAAACTTCTTACATAAGCAGATTTCAATTCAATAAAGTGTCACAGGAATGAGCGAATCATTTCCACCCAAATGTATAAATGATCCGCAGAATATAGCGGAGCGAGAATTACAACAACAACAGATCAAAAAGTTAGATGAAATAAATGTACACGTGGAAAACCGCTCCTCGACTACCAAGAAAACATTTAAATTTCAATGAAAATTTGAAAGGATAGTCAAAAAACTTCGCTGTATACTTAAATAATATTTCGATATCTGCAATAAAATCTCAGCCCTAGACTGATAAAAGGAAAAGAATTCAAAGTGACAGTATCATTTGACCAATTTATACTTCCCCTTTCCGGAATTCAAATTTTAACAATGAGTGTTTTCTGTAGTCGATCGAAAATATTTCGCTGTCTCCCTTTAATGTCTATGAAAAATTATACCAGCGGAATTAGTATTCAGGAAGTTTGTAGTTTCCATTAAAATGCTAATGAATCAGGCATAGAAGCAGTGGAATGAAGGGGTGAAGGAAATAGACATACCTCGAAACTATCTCATCCCGAAATGGAATTCAAACTGTTATTCTAATATTTGGATTTAGATAAGACACTTCAAACGCTCGATCGAATCAAATGTGGAAGGAAGGGAAGGGTAAAATCAATGGCTGAAGTAATTTTATTTAGTCAATTCATCAGAATGCTAGGATATATACAATGGCAATTTCAGAAAAAATATTGTCAGCCAGAAAAATTATCCGACTAAAGTAAAGTATGGTGGTGCATGATGGAAAAGTGGAGCCTGAAAAAGACAAATACGATAATGTCATAACTAACAAAACTCCTTTTTCTCAATATTTTGTTCTCAGTTCGATTTAAATTCACTTACTTCAATAGTCAATTTAATTGGTCCTCTGTAAATATTGTGCGTTAGCTCATATTCCCAGACACCATCTGGTAGAAAAACAGTTCGTGACGTTGCGCCTTCAATTAAAATTGGTGCAACAATCATAGTGTCATCAATAACAAACTGATCGCCAGAATACAATGCTTCCGGATCTTCTGAAAGCCACCATAACGGCCTGGAACGCGGGAAATATCATTTTTTATTTGAAGGTCGTGTTTTAATTAGTTTTAACAAACCACTGAA